AACCGAGATCCTCATTCTTGTGAGGATGAAGGTCTTTGTTTCTCTGGGATAAAGGCCCCACAGTGTATTTGCTGGGTCGTGTGGCAGTCTCGTGTTTAGCTATTGTACTCATGGTTCCTTTATATTCCTCCCATCTCCTGCCTCCCCCATCCGTGTGCCTGTGCAGGCACCGGTGTAGTTTCTCTAGCCCTCGCAGCACCTGAGTTGAGGTTTCTGATTGAGACTTTCTCTTCATTATGCAACAGTGCTTAGTTCTCTCTCTCTCCCCCCCTCTCTCCCCCCTCTCTCTCTAAATTATTTATTTTCATTTTGTGTGCATTGGTATTTTGCCTGCATGTGTGTCTGTGTGAGGGTGTCAGATTGTGGAGTCAGACAGTTGTGAGCTGCCATGTGGGTGCTGGGAATTGAACGTGGGTCCTTTGGAAGAGCGGCCAGTGTTCTTAACCACTGAGCTATTTCTCCAGCCCTGTGCTTAGTCCTCTTAAGCTACCTTTTCCTCATGGCCAGGCATGGTGGACATGTTTTCATGTGCTTGATTCCCACCCATGTGTCCTTTGTGGCAAATGGTGTCTTTCTGATTTTTGCCCATTTTCTTACTGGATATTTGTTTCACTGTTGGCCTTCTTATCTACCCTCCTTGCTGGATATATGGTTTTCAGTCAGAAGGGCCTGTAAGAACAGGTTTATTTCTAAAGTCTACTGTATCAACTTTCCCTTTCCTGGCTTGCATTTGTACTGTCAGGTCTGACACTCTGCCTGGCCTAGATTCCAAGCATTTTCTCTTAAGGTTTTCCTGTAAGTTTCATGGTTCTATGTTTTGTATGTAACTTCCTGACCCATTTTGAAGTCATGTTTGGATGCAGTATGGGCTGTGCCAAGGTCCTGTTTAGCCTCCACCTCTCCTGGCTCCCTTGTGTTGAAGGCTATCCTCTTTCCGCTGGCCACTTTTGCACCTTTGTCCAGGCTGCTAGGCTCATCTGTTCTCAGCTCTGCTCTGTCCCATGCTCTGCTCTCTGTCCCTTGCTGACTCTGTCCTAGCTCAGAGGGCTGAGATTGCTTATGCCTTCCTCCTTTCCCCTTTTCCCAGGGGTAAAGTCTGTGTTAATTTAATTTCCTGACCACTCTGCATGTCTGTAATCTCTGTGTTGACATCTATAGACTGTCTGTTCTCACTGTTGGTGTCCTGATTCCCTGGGTGAAAGATGTTATGCATGTTTTTAAAATTGGAACCCGTTAGTGTGATGTCATGAGACCCAGGGTCTTGTCCAGTTCTGCTTAAGCCAACTCTTCCATACTCTGTAAGAGAAACGGTGACAGTGCCTTAAGTCCAGCATCCTACCTAAGAAAGTGTCTTAGTAACAATAGGGTTACTATTGTTGTGATAAAATAGGATGACCAAAAGCAGTGTAGGAGGAAAGGATTTGTTTACTCACAGTTCATCATAAAAAGCAGGGAGGTCAAGAACTCAAACAGGGCAGGAACCTGGAGGCAGGAGCTGATGCAGAGGCCATGGAGGAGTGCTGCTTATTTCTCATTCCCCTTGACTTGCTCAGCCTGCTTTCTTAGAGAACCCAGGATACCAGCCCAGGGGTAGCCCCACCCACAATGGTCTGTGCCCTCCCCCATCAATCACTATTTAAGAAAATACCCACGGGCTTAGATATAGCCTAGACTTATGTAGGCATTTCTATATTGCTCCCTCCTCTCTGATGATTCTAGCTTGTGTCAAGCTGACATAAAACCAGCCAGCACAGAAGGCTTCTTGCTGTCCCTTCTGGGGGTTCCAGTAGCAGCATTAGGTGACCTTTTGTTTTCAGGTGGCTAGCAGAGTTGTCTCAGCCTAGTGGGAGTGAATCTTGTGAATCCCCTCTTGTGCTTGTCTCATTCCACCTATGCCTGGAACTCCAGGCTCCCACTTAGAGTTCTACATAGGGTCAGGCTGGGCTCTTTGTAAGCTATGCTGGAGTAGACAGTGTTGTTTACAAGTTTTCTCCCTCACCAGGAATAGCTGCTTTTGTCAGGGTTTGTTTTCTTATTTGTTGGTTGATTTTTGTTTGCTTTGTTTTGATCTGTGTCCTTTGGTTTGGGTGATTTCCAACTTCTTCCACTCCAAGTCAGGTTAATGAGGCTTAAGAAATGTCAGAGCTTCTGGGTACCACCTTGGCTTCTAGGGCACATAGCATGTCTACCCTGATTGGATTGTCTTATTTCTTTTATTCTGAAATCTGGGGCTCTCAGCTGTATACCACAGAACATAAAGAAAAGGTAAAGTATATTTTTCCATTTTGAGCATACTCCTATTATCCTTCCTTGTCCCCTCCCATTCCCACTGATGCCCATCCTCTTCCCAACTAGCTCTGTTTCTACTATTTTTGTTGTTGTTGTTGTTGTGTTTGACACAGTTTCATTAGGATTGTTTACAGGAACATAGATGAGTTTGTTTACAGGAACATGAATTCCCTACCAGTGGTTATACCACTGAAGAAAATGTCTGTCCCTCCACCACCAACTGTTAATTGCTGTAAATCCTTAGGGGAGGTGGAGACCCCTCATGAACCCTCTCCCCATCCTGTCTTGTGCATGTAATCATAGCTATTGTGAGCTCAATAGAATAACAACAATATCATGCCTGAAGCCAGCTTTTCATTCTGCTCCCTATCTTTCCCCAGCTTTTACCTCTTTTCAATGGTGTTCCCTGAGCCTTATATGCATGTGCATTCATGTGTGTGCATGTATTTGTGTGTGTGCGTGAGTTCACATTCATGTGTGTGTGCGTGCGTGCATGTGTGTGTGTGTGTGTGTGTGTGTAGATGTCCCACCCATGACTAAGCTGTCAACAGTTATAGATCTCTGCAGTTACACTGATGATTGCAATAAAGAAGCCTCTGTGCACTCTGCCTGTCTTATGCCTCCTCTGAGCAAACAAGAGCTTTCTTTCAAATTTGCATTTTACCACATAGTCTGGGTCTCTCAGAGGTGTCTGTTCCCTGTCCTGTTATTTCTGTCTTTGCAGTATTATGCTCCAACCTCTGGCCAAAACTAGTCTGAATGAACAACCATATCCCTGTTTCCTGAGCTTACCCTTTCCTTCCTAAAGGTGCCTGCCCCCCTACAGTGTTCCCACACTTGATACTTCACCAACCCCCTACTTTCTCCTAAAACTTTCCATAGTGCTTTGAGCTGGTGAGATGGCTCTGTAGGTAAAGATGCTTGCGGCACAAGCCCGATGACCTCAGTTCATTTCTGGAATCTGCATAGAGGTGGAAGGAGAGAACCAACTCTACGAAGTTACCCTCTGACCTACACACACACACACTAAAAAGTAAAACTGTACAGACTGAGGACACTGAGTCATACACTGCAAAGTCGTATAAAATATACACCCTTGCATAGGGGATCCACATGCCCATCTCCTGCAGTCACCAGCCCAGGACTGTTCCTTTCTCTGCTTCTTTCCAAACCACACTGAACTACTTTGAAATAAGTCTTAGACATCATCATTTCATCTATAAATACTTCAGTATGTACCTCTAACGGATAACTACTGTTTCCATACCATAACTATTAGCAAAAGTTCCTTAGCATAAAAAGCTGTCTGGACAGTACTAACATTTGGATTCCTTAATTGTAAAATCTATCTTATTTATTTTAGGTTCTTATGGTACCCAGAAATGCTTTAGACATAATAGATGCTTGAAATATATCTTAAAGTAATGGATTAATATTAAATGATAATGCCTTTATAGATTTATTTCTATTTTCTTTTTATTTCATATGTGTGGGTGTTTGCCTACATGTATGTATGTCTATGCAACATTTGCATGTAGTGCCCATGGAGATCACGAGGGTATCATCCCCTGGGACTGAAGTTGCCATCAGTTTTGAGCTTCCATGTGGGTACAGGGAATCAAACCTAGGCCCTCTGAAGATTATCTAGTGCTTATAACCATTGAACCATCTCTCTAGCCCCTTGAAAACCTTGAATAAAAGATTCTATGTAGAAAATCCATCATGCAAGTGCTATATGAACTATATGTACTACCTAGCATAATTAATCACAATTTTCCTAAAAGCAAGGAATTTACTTTATTGATATTGATAAAACAAATTTGTTTACAAAAGAATAATTGGCTTCAATTTTTGCAAATCTTTTTCTCTTAATTGCAATTTATCAGAAATATTTGGGAAGATGAAAACCTTAAATTTTTTAGTGATTGGACAGTTGAAATTTTTCTTTAGATCTTTTCTTAGTTTCTCCTGCTAATTGAATAGTAGTTGTGTGTGGTGAAGGAATCGTGTTAGATTTAAGCTACTATACACATTTTGTTCTCATGTGACAGGTTGTTGGGGTGGATGGAAGTGTGGGTAAAATACCTGAGGTATCAGCTGGGCAGTATTGGTGCATACTTTTAATCCTAGCACTTGGGTAGGCAGAAGCAGGTGGATCTCTGTTAGTTTGAGGCCAGCCTTGTCGACAGAGCAAGTTCTAGGACAGCCAGGGCTACCCAGAGAAACCCTGTCTCCGAAAAACTTTTTAAAAAAAAAGTGTGGTGTCTTGTTAATGTGACATCACTTTACTACCATTCATAGACTACAAGGGCAGAGAGAAACTAGATGGCAGTTTATTGTAAGTCTGTGAGCTGCTGTGACATAGCTGTTGACAGCAGGCCCTTATGGGGTAGAATTACCACCTTGTCCCTGGCCCAGAACCTTAGTGACCCTTTATTCCCTGGAGTAGAGCATGAAGTTCCTGCATACTTGCCCTAGGTTTCCTTTGTGGAGGTCCCTTCCTTGCCTCCACTGTCCCTCCACTTAAGGTGCCCTGGAGTATGCTTAGAGGAGATGGAAGAGACTGAAAATATTCCTTCCCAAATGACAAGCCCAATATTTTTTATGATATTTGTTTTTTTATTGCTGTGCTGTGATGATCAATACACAAAGAGGCCGTACCTCATTTTGCCAGGATTACACACTAAACATTGTTTTTTGCTGTCTTTCAGACAGAAGTGGTCTCCGCCAGTCAAGAAACCCTCAAAAGCATTTTACCATGGATATAGAAGATGAAGAGAACATGAGTAAGATCTAGGCCTATTACTTAGTGCCCAAGTAGTTCATGTTCCATTAAAATATTAGTGCTTTTGTATATATGATTAATAAGACTAGCTTGATGTTTCCTAAGATGTGGGCTGTTGGCAGTGGTGGGGTTTTGTATATAGGCATTAATATTTACTGTGGACATTTTCCTTACAGCCACCTATCTAGAGTTTTCATTCCTCATTATCATCATGGGACCATCATTTTTATTCCAGAAATATGCCTCTAGGTACTTGTCTCATAATGCTGTGTGGCTTCATGTGAAGTTATGATTCTTATAATAAAGTGCAAGAAAACCTTTTTGATTGACTCAGATACCTGGTCACTGGGATATCAGTTCATAAAGCTCCCTTCAGACACAGTCGCTGCTCCTGCATTGGAGGGAAGGGAATCTACATGATCTTAGTCTCTGAAGACTGGAACGTGATTGGTGCTAGTATGAACCAAACCCCCACTGGGGTTCTTTCTGTTCTCCACAGCGTCTTCCACAGGGCTGCGGGCATGGGGCCACAGACACACCGACGATTCCTCCCTTGGCATTGTTCTCTGTGAGTCACCAGTCACTTCTGTCCACCCTCAGTCCCAGAGAGGAGCAGGTCCAAAGGGAAAGTTGCCTGGAAGCAGCATTTTTCCAGCTAAGGTGCTCTGTCTGTCTGAAGGAAGGACATGCAGCTGCACAGCAGAACCACATGTCCTGGGGGTGGTATGATGGTGAGAACCAGGCTTAGCACGCTCTCCATGACTCAGCCCAGTAGCAGGGATGCTCAGAGCCCAACAGTCTGTACCCCACTGCTGTGCTGGATCTGGGGTGGGCTTTGCAGCAGACATCCTCTACCCTGAGAATGACCACTGACTGGCAGGAAGCAGCTGCCCAGTGCCGTTCTGAGTAGTGTAGCAGCTGGCATGCTTTTTCCTCTGCAGATGCGGTCACTGCTCACAGCTCACTGGTCACTTCTCAGTTCTGCTCTAGTAACAGTTTAAGCTGTGGTTTTGCTGGCAGATCCACCCGTCATGCTCAGTGTTGCCAGGTTTTAAACTCTACATTTCAGGCAGTATTGCCAGTGCTATGCCAACCCAGTAACACCTCCCTGGGAATATGCGAAGGTGTCCCCAGGGCTACCTGCTGACTTGGGTTGTGTCTCCAGCTGTGGCTATCATCATTGAGCCTTGGCTAAGTTAACTAAGGAAGGCTCCTCCCAAATAATATTCCTGTAAAAATAAACTTTTGACTCTTGTGTAAACTTGAAATGTCAGGCCTGTGTCTCTTGTGGTTTTAAAAGCAGTTACAGTTCCACTGTGATTCATTTCCCAGTTTAAATACAGCAGAGACAGTGCCTGCTTCAGCAGAGAGTGGGCTCTGTCTCTAATTGGAGTCTTTTATTTTTTGTTTGCTCAGGAGAATTTTTTTGATAAAATGCAATTGGTACCTTTTCTTCTGAAGTGAGTAAGAGTTGAGAATGATTTTAGCTGTCACAGAAAGTGTATTTTTTCTCATAATCTTGACTGTTAACTTAGTTCTGAGGGCATTTGGCTATTTGTCATCATTAATGTTTGGCTAAATGCATGTCAGAGTGCCTTGCTGATGATGTTTGTTCCAATGCTGGTTAATTTTGTTTGTTGATAAACTTGAATTGTGAACAGAATGTAGTATGTGATGTTCTCCCCCTTTATTAATCTCTCTATCTGTCTTTGCTCTACCTCTTCACCTTTTGTTCCCTGAGTACCGAAAGGAGTAACCTACCGGTCTTTTGCTGGAGGATGTTATAAATGAAAATTTAGTGCCCATTCCATTAGCTTTGTCAGCTGGGAGAAGTGGTGTGTGTGTGTCAGGAGTGCTCTGGGAAGAGGTGTCTATTGAGAGACCCCTCCCCCCCCCACACATGGACTGAGTTTATCTTGGTAGTCTTGCTGTCTCAGCTGAATAATGATGGCCCTGGGCATCTGTGATCCTTAACTCTAGAGACTGGCAGCAACAACCAAGACGTTTATGACATTAACCCCACCCACGGGCTCACTGAGGAACATTTTCAGTGTTTTCAGATGGCTTGACATAGAAAATCTGTTGGCATGTTGCATAATGAAAATAGACCCCTGAAGCCACTATGTTTAGGAATATTTTCATCAACTAAGATGTACTTTGGATTTTAGGAGCTAGTGGTTGAAGGTATAAGTAAGCACTGCTCAGCCCTGCTGTACTGGGCATACTGCACAGGACTGAAAAATCAAATGATAAAAGAGGAACTATTTGTTCTGTTTTTAGAAAGCTTAATAAACCTAAAAGGAGAACTGGACACTTTGAAAAAATGGTTTTTTTTCTTTTTGCTTGGTGGAAGGTTGAGATAAGGTCATGGCTGTGTGTAGCGTAGTTTGTCCTCTTAACTCTCAACTCCCCTATGAGTCATAGAATAACAGGTATGCACCAGCATGCCTGACATTTATTTCCCATTTAAATAGCAAAATCATCTTTTATTTTGCCATGTAAAGTACATTTAGAAGGTATTATCGCCAGGGTATTCTGGAAACCGACTAGCTGGTTCTGAAAGGCAGGTTTGCTGGCATGTTTAGGGAGCACAGCTTGCCTGCTGCTCCCGTTCTGTGTCTCGTTCTTACATATTTTCCTAGCATAAAACTTACGAAAGATTCCGAAGCAAATAGTGGTGAAATACGATGAAAAATCTTAAATGTATCCATTATCCTTCAAAGATAAATTCTATAAAGTCATAATATTTTACCTTATTATACAAGCAGTTTTCTATGATCAATTCATAAACTAAACCAAATAATCACATGTTGATTAGATGTTTGGAACCTCAAGAGCCAAATAAGTTGTGAAGACATTTCTAAATGGCACCTCCTCTCCTGAGAAGTGCTGCAGTTAAGGTCAGTATTCTTGGAAAGGAGTAACATGCTAAGATAAATGCCTGTGTGCTGGTGCATTCAGAGGCCACTTCATGAGCCTTAGTGTGAGTCTTCGTGAATAAACTTAACGTCTAACATCTTGGTAAGCTATAAAGATGTAGGATGTCTTTGGTAGAGAAAATAAGCTAAAAATTTTATCTTTTAATGCTGAAGAAATTGATAAACTAACTAGAAGAGGCAATAGGTATTAGTTTAAAAAACAAAAACAAAAACTCAAAAGTGCATTCCAGCCCCAAACAGTTAGGGCTTTGGTCAATGTGTAGTTCCTCGCATTGCATTGAGGAAGGAAATACACACACACACACACATCACTTACCCAGCTACAAAGAGATAAAGGAATCTATAAATTTTGCATTTACAAGATCCTGCAACGAAGGCGTTGTAAGTTACTCTTTCTGGGCACCACAGGTTCCAGCAGCACTGATGTTAAGGAAAACCGCAATCTGGACAACATGCCCCCCAAGGACAGCAGCACACCTGGGCCTGGCGAGGGTATCCCGCTCTCCAACGGGGGTGGTGGTAGCACCAGCAGGAAGCGGCCCCTGGAGGAGGGCAGCAATGGCCACTCCAAGTACCGCCTGAAGAAGCGAAGGAAAACACCAGGGCCTGTTCTGCCCAAGAACGCCCTGATGCAGCTGAACGAGATCAAACCTGGCTTACAGTACATGCTGCTATCCCAGACAGGGCCCGTGCATGCACCTCTGTTTGTCATGTCTGTGGAGGTGAATGGGCAGATCTTTGAGGGCTCTGGTCCTACAAAGAAAAAGGCAAAACTCCATGCTGCTGAGAAGGCCCTGAGGTCTTTTGTCCAGTTTCCTAATGCCTCTGAGGCCCATCTGGCCATGGGAAGGACCCTGTCTGTGAACACTGACTTCACGTCTGACCAAGCCGACTTCCCTGACACACTCTTCAACGGCTTCGAGACTCCAGACAAGTCAGACCCACCCTTCTACGTAGGCTCCAATGGAGATGACTCCTTCAGCTCGAGTGGAGACGTTAGCCTGTCAGCCTCCCCAGTACCTGCCAGCCTCACCCAGCCTCCTCTGCCCATCCCACCACCATTCCCACCCCCAAGTGGGAAGAATCCTGTGATGATCTTGAATGAACTGCGCCCAGGGCTGAAGTATGACTTCCTCTCTGAGAGCGGGGAGAGCCATGCCAAGAGCTTTGTCATGTCCGTGGTGGTAGATGGCCAGTTCTTTGAGGGCTCAGGGAGAAACAAGAAGCTCGCCAAGGCCCGGGCTGCACAGTCTGCCTTGGCTACTGTCTTCAATTTGCACTTGGACCAAACACCGTCTCGTCAGCCTGTTCTCAGTGAGGGTCTTCAGTTGCACTTGCCACAGGTGAGGAAAAATGTGTGTTTGCAAATGAGTGGCCATTTCCCTTGATGGCGTTTTAAGCAGCCTTTAGCTCTCACTATTTCTTTTGACTCATGTTCTTAAGTCTTCAGCAGGAGCAGTTGCTGGTAAGTCTGACTGTGGAGTGACTTTGCCTCAGTTCCCATGGTTACTTGGTCATTGAGAATCTGATTTAATCTCCTCTGACTTATGCTCACTAGCTAGGGTAATGACAGTGAGGAGCAGGGATACCTCAGGGCCCTCACCAGGACAACCACAACTGCCTTTCCATTTAATTTTGTCCCAAAGGAACCCTCATCCCATAGCAGTCCTTTACAGGGAATGGGGCAGGGAGCCCAAATGATGGAATTTTGGCCTTAGTTCAGTGGAGCATCCCTTGAGACTTTGCACAGAAAAATCATGCCCAGAATAAGGGCTGATGTCCAGTCTGCAGTCGAAGGCCCCTGAGCAATAGCCACAGAGCAATAAGGAACATATGTGGTAGGGCAGGGAGTGTGGCAAGAAGGAACCCTTTCGTAAACACTCTAGAAAGTGCCAGTTGCTGGGAATCTCTATATGCCACATTTTCTATGTGACATCTGTGTGGACTTCTCCCTGCTCTAGCTGAATGTGGACAGCCACTCAAGTTTGCAATCCTCACAGAAAACTCACAGTGAAAAGGAAATGTTAGGGTAGCGCAAGAGGAAAAAGGAAAAAGAGACCTTCAGTCCTAATCAATTCCCAGATCATTGGCTGTGTCTGGGGTCTTGGAATCCCAGATTTATTTCACTGATCTGCTTTTTAGTCTTCTATCTTAATTCCTTTTTGTCAAAATTCTCCTTAGTGTGGAAGGAATTGGCCAGAATTGGCGAATTAACAGTTTTAATTTACTTTTTTTTTTAAGGAAAGATCTCAATATATAGCCCTGTCTGGCCTGGAACTTGCTATGTAGACCAGGCTGACCTTGAACTCACCAAGATTTATCTGCCTCTGCATCTTGAGTGCTGGGATTAAACCCAAATGTTGATTTTAATGGAAGACCTGCTCTGCTTTGCCTAAAGCAACCAAGTACAGCTCAGCCTAGAGGAACGGACTTGGTGTTTTTCTGACTTTCTGTGACATGTACTTGCTTCCCAATTAGTCCCTTGTTAACATCCCTCCACGAATAACCAGCTAGTCTATTGGTTATTTTACAAACTATGGCACTAGATCCCAAGTGGCTTTTATTTCCAGGCTTAGATTTGCTAAAATATTTTGACCTGAGTTCAACATATCATCTGGTGTGATTTGTCTTCCCTTACTATTGACAGTAGTAGCAAAGCCACTGAAACTATTTTACACACCATGGATCCTGTAGAGGACTAGCAGATAAATGGTCTAGGGAAGGTGTCCTCAGCCCTTCTTTCTTTTTTTTTTTTTTTGTTTTGTTTATTTTGAGACAGGGTTTCTTTATGTTGCTAGCCTCAAACTTACACAGAGATCTGCCTGCCTCTGGAAGTGCTGAGATTAAAGGGGTGCATCCCATCATGCATCTAGCCCCGCCTTCTTGAGTGACTGCCTCAATGGCTTTGAATGGAAAGGACTGATCTCCTGACCTGGGGAGGCAAGTGGCATTTGTGAGAATCTATTCATGTTGAAGTAGGCTGGGCCCCTCTAATTTGGAGCCAGTTAGAGTCTGGGAACAACAGAGCTATATCCTCATATCTCTGTTCAGTAGCACAACCAGTACTGACCCTTTTAAGTTCCCCAGGGTAGCTCACAAAGACTGAAGACAGTAAGATCTTCAGGACCAATCTCAGTGGTTATATGCAGGGGTCCAGGTTGGGGAGATTCAGAACCTGCATTCCAGGATGGATATAAATTCTTGCTTTTTCCCCAAAGTATCTCTTAAAGGGCTTGGGCCAAGCATCCCTGTTCTGAGAACTATCTCCCTTCCTGATACTCCCGGGGTGGGGTGGGTTATAAAGTCAGACAGTGTTGGCCACACCACACCTGTGGCACTCTGCTGTAGCAGGCTTGCCAGTGTGGTGTTGCCAAGAATCAGCTGTATAGCAGGTCCTCACCCTGTGTGTGTCATTGAGGGTGAGTTGTTGGGATGTAGGGTTCTTTTTGGTGTTTTTGTTTTGTTTTGGTTTTGGTTTTGGCAGGATCTTCCTGTGTAGCTCTGGCTGTCCTGGAACTCACTATAGAGACCAGCCTGGGTGTGAACTCACAGAGATTCACCTGCCTTTGCCTCCCGAGTGTTGGGATTAAAGGAATAAGCCACTACACTTACCTGCTTTGGGGATCTTTATACTTTTGCTGTATTTAGCCCCAACCACACAGGGTAAGGTTCATAAGGCTTTTTCAGAGAGTCAGTTGCCTGTGTCTCACAGTATACATTCTGTAGGCACTTGGCTCAGCTATCCAGATCACACTTCTGCAGAAAAGTCACTTGGAGCTGTGCCTGCCCTTATATGACTTTTAAAACGTACATTTGAAAAGTTCATTCTTTCACAATGTCATATATAATTCTCTGGTCATCTCCTCCTTCCCAGTGTATCTCTCTCATCCCTCCCCACTCCCATAGAACTCTTTCCCAACAAGCCCCTATCTTGATTAGGGTTTCTGTTGCTGTGAAGAGACGCCACCATCATGGTAATTCTTATAAAGGAAAACATTTAATTGAGGTGGTGACTTTTACAGTTTCAGAACTTTAGTCCATTATCATCACAGGGGGAGCATGGCAATGTGCAGGCCGACATGGTGCTGGCTAGATCTTGATATGTAGGCACCAGGAAATGGTCTGTCTTCAGTGGGTGTAGCTTGAGCAAAGGAGACCTCAAAGCCCAACCCATAGTGACTCACTTCCTCTGACAAAGCCATACCTACTCCAACAAGGCCACATCTCCTAATAGTGCCAACTCCTTTTGGGGGGCATTTTCTTTCAAACCACCACACCCCCCTCCTACTTTCAAGCCTTTTTCCTTTTGTGTGTGACCCACTGTATCTAATTAGGGTTGCTTGCGTAAGTATGGATAAAGGGTTATTTACTTGAGCAAGGGCAATTTACCAGTAGCTACACCACTGAGGAAAATGATTCCCTCTCTCCCAGTCACCATTAACTTCCTATAATTCTTTAGGGAGGGCTGGAGCCTCAGAGCCTCTCCCTCGCTCAATATTATGGTTATAATCTAGAATTACCTGGGAAGGCAGTCTTAATGAAGGATTGTCTATATTAGGATGACCTGGGGCATTGGGGGTGGGGAGTATCTTGATTATATTAACTAATTGGGGGAGAAGACCCACCCAATGTGGGTAGCACCTTCCCTTAGCAGGGAGCCCTAGATTGTCTAAGAACAGAAAAAAGAACTGTGCACTAGAGTGCATGAATTAACTCATTGTTCTCTGCTCTTGACTGTGGATATAAGGTGAACAGTTCTCTCAAGCTCCTGCTGCTATGACTTCCCTGTCTTAATGGACCGTAACCTTTGAGCTAAATAAGCACTTTCTCCCTTTAGCTGCATTTGCTAGGGTATTTTATCACAGCAAGAAAAGCAACTAATGCATCCATCCTTCCATCCATCCATCCACAATAGAACGTTGATAGAGCCCAGCCTTATTTAGGCCCCATACAAGTGACCACTAACACTCTTCCTAAGGCAAGGGAGTGTTTGCACGTGCCATGTCATGTCTAGAAGACAGTGTTTCTCAGCAATTCTCCACATCATCCATCTCCTGCATCTTTTTCTATCCTTTTTCTACAGTGTTCCCTTAGCCCTGCAGGGGATAATATAGATGTCCTGTTTAGGGCTGAGCACTCAACAGTCACTGATTGCCGTCACTTTTACCTATAACCAGTCTCTACACTCAGTGATGCAGACTGCACAAAGCCATGCTCCCCTCAGACTAAGAGCAGCACTGGTCTTTTGAGTAAAAACCACAAATACTTACAGGGCAGTTTGACAGCATGTCCATATAGCAAAATGTCAATGGTAGCTTCCTCCCTAAGGCCATAAGCTCCCCAGGTTTACAGGGCCAGGCATGAATTTCCCCAACAGAGTCATGCCACAGATGCACTAGTGTACCCCTGCTGCCAGGCAGCTAGTATTATAGCACACAGGATTCATGGCTAGGTAAAACCACTCATAGCTTTTCTCCCTGCACCCTCCCCACCGCCATGTGTGCACACATTTGTTTTCTGGTGCGTCTGTGTGGGTTTTCTAGAGTAGAAGTGACACTGTAAGACTCTTCCCTGAAGTAGACAGCGTATGCTGACACTGAGAGAGACTGGTTCCACCACAGATAGTCCCTGGCCCTAAGCTTGGTCTCTGTTCTTCCCCCAGGTATTGGCAGATGCTGTCTCACGCCTGGTCCTGGGTAAGTTCAGTGACCTGACAGACAACTTTTCCTCCCCCCACGCACGAAGGAAAGTGCTTTCTGGAGTAGTGATGACCACAGGTAAGCATCTGGCACTGTGTGCAGCCTGTCTGCTTTCTGGTTTGAAAAAGCGTAAACGTTCTCAGTCTTGTGACACCAACAGAGTGTGCCTTTTATTCTTTCTGTCTTCGTGCAGCTGCCATATACAAGTGTAATAATTGTCTGCAGAAGCCTTTTTTCCTCCTTAGGGCTGAGAACATAGCTTAGTGGGTGAAGCACATGTTCAATACCCAGCAACTCTTTTCCTCCGAAACAGCCAACTTTTTTGTTTTTTGTTTTGTTTTTCAAGACAGGGGTTCTCTGTGTAGCAGCTCTGGCTGTCCTGGAACTCACTCTGTAGATCAGACTGGTCTCAAACTCACTGAGATCCACCTGCCTCTGCCTCCCAAATGCTGGGATTAAATGTGTATGCCACCACCACCTGGTAAAATATTCAACTTTTAAAAGATGTATTGTGTGTGTTTTATGTATATAAGTGTACCACAGTGCCCTCAGGGGTCTGAAGAGTGCATCAGATTTTCTAGAACTGGAGTTACAGATATTTTTAGATGCCATATAGGTGCTGGGGACTAAACCTGGATCCTTTGTAAAAACAAAAACAAAAAAACAAGTGCTCTTAATTGCTGAGCCATCTCTTTAATCCCCAAAATGTTCAACTTTTTAACCTGCCTTTTCCTCTGGAGAGAGCATACTAATTACCACATGTCATCACTGTGACCCAACATGCTCTGGAAGCACATATTACTGACTCTGGCTTCTGTTGAAGCGTGGACCCTTTCTGCTTTGTTAGTGTCACTACTGCCACATCAGAGTGACTTGACCTGGGGGAACTTTTGTGAAGTCAGAAAATTCTTGGGAAGTTGGTAAAGCACACCTCAGAGGTATATGGATGAGGGCATTTTCAGAGTTACAAGGATGAAAGACTTCCCTAGGTGTGTCTGGCAGCATCCCATAGTCCAGTAGTTTCAGAAAGAACTTAAAAATTGGGATAGGGAAAGCCCATTAATCTAAGCATGTTCATTTTCATTCACTGTCTTTCTGTCTCTCCGCCTCTTTCTCTGTTTTTCTCTTCCTCAACTCTCCCTTTCCCTCACTCCCCCCACATATTCATACTCATAAACACACCCCTTTTCTGGTCATCATCATATGAAACTGCTCTGCTACACGCTCACCACCAAACCACAGAAACTCAGCCAAAATAAAAAATTTCCCTCCTTTAGTTTTCTTAGGAATTTGTCACCCCAGTGACAAATATGACATAAAATTGGTACCATCTGTGATACCAAGTGAGATTGTTGCTGTGACTGACAAATTATGTGGATCAGAAAAGTCTTTTGGAAGTGACTTATGGGAGGAGTTTTAGAAAAGTTTGCAGATGTGAGCCAAAGAAGCCCTAGAATGTATAAGCTCAGCTTAAAGGGTGATTCTGTGGAGCTCAGAAGACCAGGGCTACTAAGAATGCAGACAGATACAATCTTCCAGATGGGAACCTGGAGTGTTCCGGGAACTGGACTCTAGGCCATTTGTGTTACAATGTGGCAAAGAGCTCATCCACCCTTTGCCAGATGCCCCTGTTCTTCCCACTTGGTATAGGAAGTTTATTGCCATTGTGTGTCAGGAATATGTAAAATGTGCTTTAACTTTTATGGGGCTCACAGCTAAGATTTTGTGTTGAGTCTCAGTAGACTTTGGGTTTGAACAGTGTTGGGACTTTAGAGATTATAACAATCTTAGAGGTACTAGATGCATTTCCATTAACGTATTTTTAGAGACCAAGGATGAAATCTTTTAAGATGCTCGATTGTCAGGTTGACAAGGGGTGAATTTAGGATGGCTAATCTTGATTGTCAACTTGATTGACCTGAGAAATGCTTAGGTATGTCTGTGAGGGCATTTCCAGAGGGGACTAAGCCTGAATGCGGATGGCACTATCCTGTAGGTGAGAGGCCTGGATGGATAGAAAGGGAAAGAGGAGAAGGCCCATGAGTACAGGCATTCTCTCTGCTTCTAACACCATGAGTTAAGCCATTCTGTTCCACTTTGTCATGATGAACTGAAACATCTATTGTGAGTCAAAATTAATATTCCCCCTTTAAGTTGTTCTCTCAAGAATTCTGTTACAGAAAACAGAAAAGGCTAACGATGCCAATCACATCAATGACTAGCCTTTTGTATGTTTTTTCCCCCAAGACAGTTTCTGTGTAGCCTGGCTGGCCTCGAACTCACAGAGATCCACCTGCCTCTGCCTCCCAAGTGCTGGGATTAAAGGCCTGTGCCACCAGCACCTGGCAGCCTTTCATATGTTTTTATGACCATTTTCTCATAGCCAAAATGTGTGTCTAGAACCGGTGAAATGGAACTGGGCACATAGGTTTTGTGCTCCCAATGGTTGAATGGCCTCAGGCAGGTTATTAACACCACCCTCCTACTCCCCACCCCCCCACCCCCTCACCCCTGTGAGCTGCAGTTCTTTTCTTCAGAATGGAAACAAAAGCTTCATGGAGGCCATCTTGAGGATATGGGGTGAAGATGATTCACTAACACTCCTGGCACAGTGACTCCCATGTAGCCTGTGCCTTACAGTTCTTCCTGGGGCTATGATCAAATACCCCCGATAAATGCAACCTAGGTGGGATTATTTCAGCTCATGTTGGAGAAGTCCATCATGGTGGGGAAGTCACTGGGCAGGGGCTTGAGGAAGCTGATCACATTGCATCTGCAGTCAAGACATCGAGAAGATGAATGTTTTGCTCAGCTCCATTTTCTCCCTTTTATGCAGTCTGGGAACCACCCCCCCCCTCCAGCTCAGAGAATGGTGCTGCCTATGGTGGGTGGGTCTTCCCATCTCAATCTAATCAAGAAAATCTGTACTAGGTGTGCCCAAAGGCCAACCTGGTCTAGATAAGCCTTTACAGGGGTGCTCAGAGACACATCTCCTGGGTTATTTCTAAAGTCTGTCAAGTTGACAGTTAACACTAACCCTACAATATGTAGCACTCGTCTGTTTCAGTCACCACGTCTGCTCTAAGACCTTACTCGGGATTGGGTTGCTGATGCCGTTGGATCTGTTGTTTGTTTTCTGTTGTCATTCTAGGGATGTATCCCAGGACCTCACCCATGCCAGGTATATGTTCTACCACTGAGACACATCCCCTTCCCTATTCAGGTTTTTGTTGCATGTCTGGGTCAGTGGTCTTTCTCACAGGATTTAATCATGATTTTCCCTCTCAAGGAGGTCACGTTGTGTATGGTTTCACTCTCGGTGTGGTTCAGTGTGAAAGATTACTAATGAAAACGTGGAAGCTGATTCTGTTTTCTTTCTTGGTACTCTTGAGCCTGTGAGTCATTCCTCCTAGCTTCTTTAATGTTTCACTCTAGAGGCTGTTGCCAGGCACTGTGTACAGTGCTTCTTACCTGTAGTCAAACACACATGCAGGCAGTGGAAGTGACCACATGAAGTTTGGGTGCAGACTGCAGGTGGGGAAGGTGACCTCCTGGAAATGGGACTGCACAAAGCCTCAGTCAGAGGCTATTTGAGGTACAGGTCTCTCGGGTAGGAATCAGGAGGCACGAAGACATGTGAAAACAAGCTCAAGGGTTTGCCTGAGCCTGAGTGGTCCAGTTGCTGAGAGCACATGTCGAACAGGCCAGTGTCCTTAGTTGCCAGTTACTCTCCTGTCTTTCAGGTACAGACGTCAAAGACGCCAAGGTGATAAGTGTTTCAACAGGGACGAAATGTATCAACGGTGAATACATGAGTGACCGTGGCCTTGCACTAAACGACTGTCATGCAGAGATAATCTCCCGAAGGTCCCTGCTCAGGTTTCTTTACGCACAGCTTGAGCTTTATTTAAAGTAAGTCTAGGAATGAACAAGTGAAGGAAGCTATTTTAAAAATACTTTATATCAGAAAGCATTGCATAGCCTTGATTGTTTGTGTGAGCACTAACTGTGTGAGGAGTAAATACCAAGGCTGAGCCTTGCTCTCCTGTGATGCTGTCTGAGCAGGTCCCACTCTCTCATGATGCTCAGTTGTGAACTAGAGTAAACTAACTCATAAACACACACACACACTTACATGAGACACGCATACAGAAACATAGCATACTCAGAAATTTCAAGTCCATGTTTAAGATGGTGGTTTTTGTCTCGTGCATTGTGAGTATAAACATGCCTTCAGAAACTGCCTGGTAAAGAAGGTCATTTTCATTGCAGTCACTGGGCATGGTCATAACTGTCCTTGCACCTGACTGCTCTTCTTGACAATGCCATTTCTCCTATGTGGTCCTTCTACCTTGCAGTCTCACTGAGAGTCGTCACTCTCAGTGATGACATAGTGATCACTGAATGGATCTGGTCTAGGGGTTACTATAAACATGTATAACAACGATTTTAGACAGACATAGTGCTACACAACTGTAAATCCTAGCAGTCGGGAAACTGAGGCAGCAGAATCCCAGGTTTGAGGCCAACCTGGTATGCACAGCAAGGTACTGTTTCCAGAACACCCCCCTCCCCCACTGAAAGCAGTGACCTCTGAAGTCCTTCTGGACCACTGTAGACCCCGTTGGCCGCACATACCTTTAATTGTCACTCTCATAACTTTTCCCTTGCAGTAACAAGGAAGACCAGAAAAAGTCCATCTTTCAAAAGTCAGAACGGGGTGGGTTCCGGCTGAAGGATACTGTACAGTTCCACCTGTACATCAGCACCTCACCCTGTGGAGACGCCAGAATATTCTCTCCCCATGAGCCAGTGCTAGAGGGTATGACGCCAGAAACTCACCAGCTGACAGGTTTTTAAGAAAACATAATATAATGTAGTGTTAGAACACATCCACATCAACTTCTTTTTATTTTCTTTTAATTTCAGCCTTAGGTGTAGATTTGATAAGAGTACAGATTCTTTGTTCCAAATTAATCATTTAGTTAGTAAATTATAATGAATGAAAAATGCTAATTCTAAAAGAAAGGTGCTAGTTTTGATTAAGTAATTAGAGTGGAGTGAAGGCATTTCCACCCTTAAGCAATCCCCGTATTTCCAGTGAGTGCTGACTGAAGCATGAGGCTGTGCTGCAGAGGCAGGTGGACTAGGCAATGGAGACCCCTGGTGTTGTCTGTTGCATGCTCTGGAGGCCAGCCTTGGACTGTGGTTTTATAACAGTTGGTGTGTACATTCCTACTCTCGTGTCTAAAACCATGCATTGCAAATGAATTTTCTTGGTGTTGAAAACAATAATACTATAAATAATTACTACTTTTAAAAATTAATAAAAAGGTCACCAAAATTCATATAACTCACTGCTAATCACTGGAAATATCTTTACATATACCCATGGATTGATTTCTGTGTTTGTCTGTATTCATTTTTGAAATGATAAAAATACTAAAGTTAATATATAACAAGCACCTAAGTATCTATCACTCAGAATTAGCAAATCTTAGCATTTTTTTCCATTTGTTTCCACTTGTTAATGATAGAAATCATCTCAGCCAAAATGTAAACCACCTTTTTCCATGCTCATAAATTTAGTCTGTATTGTCTTTTCAATTCGGATTTTACATATTTACTGGAATGTATTTGGAACAATTTACTTTTGTATGGATTGAATAAATGTTTGCATAAATAACCCATAAATTATACTTTAAATTTTAGTGCATTATATATGCTTTTCAATACGTTATCTTTTATTACATGTGAGTTTTGAACCCTCTCTTTCTTGTAGAACCAGCTGATAGACATCCGAATCGCAAAGCAAGGGGACAGCTACGGACAAAAATAGAATCTGGTGAAGGGACAATCCCTGTGCGCTCAAATGCCAGTATCCAAACCTGGGACGGGGTGCTCCAGGGGGAACGACTGCTCACCATGTCCTGCAGCGACAAGATAGCACGGTAAGGCCACAAGGGCCTGCCCCTCGTCATGCATGTGTGATTCTTAATAAGCCTTTCCTGACTCACTGTTTTCAAAATCATTTGTATTTTAGCCCCGTTCCCTGCACAGGCTCCTTTCTCACAGGTGCTTTCAAGGTTACCTAGAGGGGACAGGGGAGACCATGGCACACGACACTCCTGTTTTCCCACACTGCTTGCTTCAGAACATTCATCTTGCCTTGTATTTATTATGTCTTTTTCAATGCAGGTATCAGGGTTAAGCAGATTGTGTTGGGCGTTCTACAGGCTATGATATTTTACACAGTTCCCTCCCAGAGGAAAACATACAAGCATTTCCTTGTCAGCAGGAAACACAGTGTCCATGGTCGCTGTGCCCATAAGTTAACACTGTGATTGATCTTTATCAACTAGAACAATGTGAGCCATCCCAGGCCCAGGCTAGTGCTCTGTGAACATGCTGCTCTAGTTACCTGCTGCGTGCCTGGGAAGCAGCTTCTCTCGGGAGCTTAGATCCAGGTCAGATTTTAGAAATCCATTTCTTCAGATGCCAGTACAAGTTCCAGTGGCTATTCTGTTTTTATGTCTCAGCTAATGTATTTCAGCAGGTGATAGAAGCATTCAGATGTTCAGGTGCATATAAAATTAAACCTCTCGCTATAGAACATGCCCCTGTGGTGCCAGGGTAAGCAGTTCTGGACTAGCCACCCAGAAGGTTTAGAGTTGACATGGACATAGTGCGCGTGTGTCTTTTTCTCCCCTTTACATCAGACGGGTCAAGCTTAGTGGGGCACATCTTGCAGTGCGGCATGAAACCTGGTCATTACTTATGAACCATCATCTTTTCAACTGCTGTGAGCACTTTGTATTGATTTTCTCCAAAATGGGTGTCATAGGGGAGCTGTAAGACTCAGAGCTGGATTAATCATACATAAGCCTTGGACCATTCTCCCCGAGTGCTGGTGCAGGTTAAGTAACTTTTAGCCAAAGGAAAAAAATAAAAGAAAAAGATCCAGAGAACTGGGAGTGTTTGAGATTTTGGAGGCTTTGAGTTTGGAAATATTTCTGTAGACTCTACCAATTGAGCATTCCTAACTGAAAATCTAAAACCCAGATGCTCCAAACTCTGCAAGGCTTTAGTGGTACACTACCTGTGCCTGCTGTAGTGGATTTGCTCGCTCTTGTTTTTAATTCCTTTGTTTATTATGTTTATACATTGTTCTGCCTGCATGTGTTCCTATGGGCCAGAAGAAGGCACCAGATCTCATTACAGATGGCAGTGAGCCACCATGTGGGTGCTGAGAATTGAACTCAGGACCTGTGGAAGAACAGCCAATGCTCTTAACCTCTAAGCCATCTCTTCAGCCCATGTGTTTGCTCTTGTCTTTCCAGTCTGCCTTCCCAGTGCTTCCCCCTCCCCCACCCCCACCCGTGTGTGTGTGTGTGTGTGTGTGTGTGTGTGTGTGTGTGTGTGTGTGTGTGTGTGTGTGTGTGTACCACGTGCATGCCTTCTGCCTACAGAGGCCAGAAGGGGGTGTTAGAGTTACATGTGGTTGTGAGCCACCATGTGAGTACTGGGACCTGAACCTGGGGTCCACTACTGAGCCATCTCTCCAGTCCTGCCCTTTTCTTCTTGATTTTGGAGAGATCCTCTCATGATTGGTATTACTGTCATCTTTAAATCTTTGAGGCAATTCAGCATCTTCTCTGGATCCTTGCCATTGAATGGCCTTGTCACCTTCTGGAGATCATGACCAAATATGTGAGGGCTTATCTGTGGACAGCCCCTTCTATTCTGTTGCACTGTATGCTTGTATGTCAGTATCACAGTGTTGTGATTACTATCACATTTGTACCATTTTGAAATCAGAAAATAGGACCCTTCAACCTTCTTTTTATTTTCCTAAATTGTTTTGCATCCCATTGCTTTTCTGTGTTTTGTTTTTGTTTTCATTCATGTAAGTTCCTTTGCAACTTTGGTTTGTTGACTGCAGAGCATGATATTTGGTTTCTATATATCTGATTTTTCAATTTTCATTTTTCATATTGGTCTATAGTTTTACTCTACTGTGGGTAGAAAGATACTTGTGTGGTGTGTAGTTTTATTTCTCCCTGATTTATTCCCTTCCCACCTTTCTTCTAAAATACCCTCACAGGAGTCTTATTTCTTTTTGTATATTTTCTATAGAACTTCCTTTGTGGCTGTTATTCGCTTTTTAGATTTTGTTTAATTCTTTCCAAGTGTGTGGTGGGGGGCTGTGTGGTGTGTGTGAAGGCCAGAGGTGTTAAATACCACTGGAGCTGGAGTTACAGGCAATTGTGAACCTCCTAATGTGGATGCTGGGAACCATACTCAGGTTCTCTGGAAGAACCTCCTCTTAAACACTGAGTCATCTCTCCATTCCTTGTAGTTACAATTCTGACTACATAAAACATCTTAAAATTATAGCATTCTATTTAAGCTGATAATAATGTAACTTCAAATACATATGAAAATTTCTTTCTACCTCCACTCCCTCATACTTTGTCCGTATCACAGATTATGCCTTTGTATATTTATAGCCACTTACATGGATCTGTAGTCATAACTTATTTAAATTCAGTTCATCAAAATTACAAGCCAGGTATGGTAGTGCATATCCAATCCCAGCTCTCAGAAGGCTAAAGTGGGAGGGTCCTGTGTTCAAAGCCAGCTAAACTGCATAGTGGGACCCTGTCTTTAAAAAAACAATTATAATTATTTTTAAAGATTTATTTCTATTTATGAGTATGTGTGTGTATCTATATGAGTGGATGCCAGAGATGTGAGGGTGACTGTGGAAGGCATTGGTTCTCTTGGAGCTGGAGTTACAGGAGGATGTGAGCCACCTGATCTGAGTGCGAGTTGCTGAAGGAACTCAATCCTCTGAGCAGGTGTTCTTCACTGCTGAGCTCTCTCTCCAGCCCCTGGTGTAACTATATTTGTCCATGTGGTCACCTTTGCAGGAGAGCCTCGTGTTTTTATTCAGCCTTCCATTTCTGTCTACTGTTTTAAGGCTTCAGTTTGAAGGATTGACTGCTGTCTGTGTCTCTGTTTCTTCTAAGGTCTAATAGTGATGAACTCTGCCCACTGGTATCGGTGGTCCCTGAGAGTCATCATTCCCCTTCATTTAAGAAGGACACTTTGAGATACATCTTCCCACTCCTTTCTGGTTCATAATGTTTTTACTAAGAAACTGGTAAACTCTCTTTATAGTAGCACTGACTTTTCACTGATGTTTCTTAAGTTTCTTTGTCTTGACTTAGTCTGATTGAAATGTACCCACTGTAGTTTTACTTGTATTCATGCTCATTTAAGTTCTTTGCCCTTGAATCTGTGTGGCCTTTTTCTTTCCTTGGGATTTCAGGTATTATTTCTTCAAAAAAAATAACTCTCATTGCCTTTCTGTTTCTCTCTTGGCATTCCCAGGACTTGCATGTTGTTCTGCTCACTGGTGTCCATAAGTCCCATAGCCTGTCTTCATTTACATTGTTTATCTTTTTCTATTGATGATTCCAATCGTCTGTCTTTAAGTTTACTGGCTCTTTCTCCCATTAATCCCAGAGTCAAGCTTTTCAGTTCAGTTGTTTTCTTCATGTTCAGAAGGTCTCATGTATTGATGTAGTTCCCTTTGTGTTGATAATCTTGTTTTGTTCATACAGTCTTTTCATAGTGTTGAGTGCCCATGTTCTCTTTTATCTCATTAGGCTTCCACATGTCAGTTACTTTACATTATTCGTCAGAACACTCATAGATCTGTATTTCCTTAAGACTGGGTTCTAGAAATTTATCATTAGTCCTTTGATTCATGCTTCTTTTTTAATTTTGCTACTTTATTTGTTTACTTAGCTGGGATTGAGCATTTAGAAAAAGAAGCACCTCTCCCAGCCTCTGTTTATTGGCTTTGTACAAGGAAGTTCTTCCTAACCTGGTGCTTGTCTGGTTTTGGTAACTTTTAAGCTCTAGTCCCATCCTGTCACTGCCTGCCTTAGTTAGGGTTTCCATTGCTGTGAAAAGACACCATGACCATGACAACTCTTATAAGGAAAACATTTAATTGCTTACAGTTTCAGAGGTTTAGTACATTATTGTCATGGTGGGACATAGCAGCAAGGCAGACTTGGTTCTGAAGACGTAGCTGAGAGTTCTACATCTTGATTGATCCACAGGCAACAGGAAGTGAACTGAGTGCCTCCCTGTGTGTAGATTGAGACTTCAATGCCCACCCCCACAGTGACACACTTATTCCAACAAGGCCATACCTCCTAATAGTGCCACTCCCTTTGGGAACCATTTTTTTCAAATTCCAGTCCCTGGACCCCAAAGACTTGTAGCCATATGATGCAAAAATGCATTCAGTCCAACTTCAAAAGTCCCCATAGTCTAAAACAGTCTCAAACCTATTATTTAAAATTTTTAAAGTTCAAAGTCTCTTCTAAGATCATACAATCTCTTAGTTGTAATCCTCTGCAAAATCAAAGTAAATAAGCAGATCACATACTTCTAACATATATTGGCACAGGATATACATTACCATTCCAAAATGTAAGAAAGGGAGCATAGTGAGGAAATACTGGGCCAAAGCAAAACCAAAAACAGGCAAACTCCAAACTCTGCATCTCCATGTCTGATGTCAAAACACTCCAGATCTCCATCTCTTTTCAGCTTTGTTGACTACAACACACCTCTTTCTTTTGGACTGATCCCACTCCCTGTTAGCAGCTCTTCTTGACAGGTATTCCATGGCTCTGGCATCTCCAATGTCTTGGAGTTGTCAAAAAAAATCCAGGCTTTTACTTCACAGCTTCATGCAATGGCCTCTCTAGGCCTTCATTCGGGGTCACCCCTGGCACATGCCTGGCCTTAGTGGCTTTTATTAGTAGTGAAGGAGGATTCCATAGCTCCTTTCTTCTATCCTTGAAACCAGAACCACATGGCCAAAGCTGCTAAGTTCTGCTGCTTACGGGGCCTGGAACATGGCCCC